CAGCTGCCTTGGACAGAAGCCAAATTTTTGACTAAGAAAGATCAATTTAAATGGATGTTCATCAGGGTTTAATGATCCTTGTTAGCTCTGCGCCAGGGGCAAGATTGTCTCCTGACACCTCTGTGGGTATTATCGCTATGCAGAGGTAAAAGACAGTAGGAGAGATCTTCATCCAAAATGGAGTTTGCAGGTTGACACAGAGTCCCTGCTAATCACATCTTACCCAGCTGCCTGCAGACAGATTGCCACCTTCCACATATTTCTATCACAAGGTGTTGAAGGTCATTGCTTATTCTCATCCCTAAAGGGGATTCAAGTTGTATTATGGGCATTTATTGTTCCTGAGGATTTCTAGTTTTTATTACGGATGCTTGTAATCAATCTGCATGTTATCTTCTAGCTCAGCGAGTACCAGAGTTTGCTCAGGCTGTTTATTTCCAGAGAGCAGACAGTGTACCTACCACCCAAAACACACAAACAAATTCATTCCCAGTAGGATCATAACCTGCAGTTCATGGAGTCAATTTTTCTGCAGTAACTTCAGTGTTCCGTGGAGTCTCATTAATGCACATTTTTAAAATCTGCACAGATGCCTGAACAGGCAGTGGGAACCTCAGAAAATCCAACCTTTAGTTTTGTATTCAGTGGGACTTGACTTTTTGCAGTATATGATAAGGTGGTGAGACTAATTGCTGTCAGAGTTGAATTCACTGGAGTTCTGCAAAACACAGATTTGTGTGTAGTGTGGCCATGGAAATGTTATGCTCTGTGTGCAAACGCTTGCAGATTCAAGCCTTATCAAAAGTGTCACAGGACTGGTGCTCCCCTTGAACCTGTAAACTTTTCAAAGCTATTAACATTGTCTAATTTAAATATCTCTACACGGAGGTCGTGGTCCCTACTTCTTGCCTTTCTGCATCGGGGTATGTTCAAAAGGGCATCAGTATAGAAAGACTCCATAAAATTTGAGCAGCAAAATTGCTTACTTTGAAATCTCTACCTCCCATCTCTTCTGGAGTTTTTTTGTACATCTTGGTAAAAGAAGTGTAAGGGTACAGCAGTCCTTTTTTTTTTTTTTTAAATCAACAGTTGAAAGTGACTGCTCTGATGAGGCTCTCGGGAGTGCTCTATGTGACAAGATTGTTGGGTTTAAAACAGCTGGTGAAAGTTCTGTGCCACTTAATCCTGGAAGAGTTCACATTTTGCTTTCTAATCCTGAAAGACCTTTTCTCCCTCTTGGATCTCTGCTGTCATTCCTGCTGCTGCGATGGTGATCTAAGCATTGAGTGAGTAGTTCCCATCTTTGCAGGACTGCAGGTGATATTCTCGGAAAGTTAAGTCAAACCTTAATTCTTCTGAGGTGAAAACGTCATAATTCCCCATGATTAGCAGCGGATGGGATTTTCAGTCATGATCTTAAGAGCTGAGAGGATCAGGGAGGACTGTCCTGGTGCAGGAGAATCCATGAGCTGGCCACTGCCCTTCCAGCAGGGGCTGGCACAGAGAGTGACAATGTGATGGGCAGAGGGGAAAACAGAAATCCCCAGAACAAACCTGTAGCAGGGTGGTTGGGAAACACAAGAGAGCCTCCCCTGGGGCTTGCAGATTCATGGTGGGTATTCTCTCTGTCCTGGGACAGTCTCAAGGTACTCAGTAGGTTTTTACCTTGCCCTCCATCCATCTCAAATAAAGCCTATGGGCTCTGTGTGGTTTTTAATTCAAAGGGAAAGCAGTGCCACAGCCTTGCAGTCTGTAAAGTCCTCTAAGATGTGACAAGTGACAGGGTGCCACTGGGTGCATTGCTGTCCTGAAGGATGACAGCACTGTCCTTTACATCCAGACTCCTCCGGGGGGTTTAATTTCTTCTGATAAATGAAAGGCATTAAGAAACCTCTCCTGCCCTTTGAAGATACACCAAGAAAGCTTAAGCACAATGTAATGGGGTTGTTATTCCCAGAGATTACCCAAAAAAATGGCTTTTAAATGGTTTGAAAGTGCACTGCAGAAAAGTCATCAAAATGGCTTGGTAATAAACAGACATTTCTCATCATACACCAAAAGAGAGAGGCTTCATTTCTCAATGGTTGAATAGTAGCATTAGAGATGAGCTATTCTGTGATTTTGTTTGCAGAGTAAATGAATGTCCAAATGTATTTTTACTGAGGAAGAGCAATCTCACTGTTGCTGACAAATAAATGCAAATGTTAGAGCCATAATCTGCTTTAACCAAATAATGCACAACAATTAAGCATTAAATTATTGATGTTATAAAAGGCAAACCAGCCACTAGACACAGGAGTTTCCATGACTTAAAATCCAGTTAATGGAAACTCATTTTTTCCCCATTTTTGTGGAGTGTATTATAAATTTTTTTTGGTTTTGTCTTTGTTTTTGTTTTTTTTGTTTGTTTGTTTTTTGTTTTTTTGTGTTTTTTTTTTGTTTGTTTGGGGTTTTTTTGTTTTTTTTTTGTTTTTTTTTTTTGCCTTTTGAACTTTGAAGTCTATTTAAGCAAGACCATTGGGGAAAAGTTAGTTAAACTGGGAAAGTTAGCTGGCATATTTACCATTTCAGGAGACATATTGTGTTTTTGCAGTGAGAGGTGAATTGAGTTTGCATTCAGAAGAGTAACCTATGCAAAGTCAGCCCTGAACAGCAACAAACCACAGAGGCAAAATCTGGTTAGTGAAAAATAGCTACAGGGCTTGTGAGGTTTATAGTATAATTTCATCTTTAAGACTAGGCAGTCTTCTTGTGTATTGATAAATAAGTATGAGAAGGCCACTTGGGGTTGTTTCTGTGGGAGAGCCTTTCCTGTACAAAGAAAAAGTGAAAGTTTGAAGGGATGTAGGGCATCCAGTGAGGAAACTGTATTTTAAGTTTTATGGGCAAAAGCTACAGTTTGAGCAGCTTGTAGTGGAATCTGGGGCAAAGCTGGTGGCAGGGTCTCACCAGCTGCTTTTCACAAACCTGCAGATGTGCTGTTGCCCATCCCATAAGCATGACCCTGCCTTTGGCAGGATCAGGCCATTAGTGCTAACTGTTGGATTTGGGGCAGCAGCAAGGTTCAATGCCTGGAGGCAGTGGGCACAGCTATAAATCTCTCACAAGAAATAAGTAACATGTTGGGAATCTTTGACAAGTTTAGTAACTGTGCCACAACCTCAATGGGGGTTTTGTTTCTTGGAGACTTGTTTACTTTTTTTCTTCCCTTTTTTTTTTTTTCCCATAAGTCTGCTAAATTATTTAGGGGCTGAATTTTAAAATTAGAAGATGTGGCATTAAAAAAGCGATGAATATTTTATGAAGGGTTCTGGGATTTTGTGGTATCAAAATACATGTTGCAGCCTTGGAGACTCCAGCACAGAGCCACATGAGCCACTCCCTCCCCTCCATCTGACCTGCAGTGCCCATCACAGCTGCAGGGCAGAGCAGAGGGGTCCCTCCATCCCCCAGTGCAGGAGGGAACCCCGTGTTGCCCAAGGAACCCAAGTGCATCACCTCACATCACATCAGATTTCAGTAGTTTTCTGTTGTGGTGGTAAATAGGAACGGAGTGTTTTGTATCAGTGGAGTTCCTCCATATTTTTGAGAATGATTTTTAGATGGCAAATGTGGGGTTTGTTTTATAAACACAACAGGAGAGGCAAGGGGAGCTGCAAAAGCCACTTGATTCTGCTCCCAGCGGCACCATGGGATCAGCAAAGCTACTGGAAAGCCCAGGGGATGCTGGAGGAGCAGGAATCTGTGCAGAAATTGCAGGAATGGGGAGCACAAGTAGGGACAGGATCTTAGGAGGTTACTCTACAAAGAGAGGAACAAGAGGAATAAGATACATGAGTTTTCCTCGAGGACAGCACCAGATATCCTAGAGAGGTGTGTTTGTGTAGGCTGCATGCTGAAGTCTGTCTGTACCTCAGTGCATCCCTTAGCAACCTTTCAAGTCAGAGGAAATGTGCAGTAAGTACTCATGGTTACAGCCAGGTTTTCTCCAGTGTAATTTACCTGTGTTTAAATGTATGTAAAATAAGTTCCGACGACACTTTTTCTTATGAATTAGCAGGTCTCGCTGACACAAATCAGGAACTCCATACAATATTCAGCAAGCACATTAAATCTCCTTCTAACATGCAGCACGCTGAGATGCTCTTCCTTGTTACCAGGAGTACTGGAGGCTGGAGAAATGCCAGCTGTCCCCTCTGATGGCAACAACGACGACACAGGCAGAAATAATTAGCGCTCTGCTGCACCGCTGGTGTGGGTGGTGCTGTTCTTCAAAGCTTCTCTCCCTTTAGGTGCTATGCGGAAATCCTTGATAATTAATCAGCTCTTGGTGACACTGCAACACTAATAAATCCTTAAGAGTTGCATTTGGTGTGATGTGTAGATACACAAACCTCAGTATTGTCAGGACGGTTGTGCTGCAGATGGAGCCTGAGCTGGGGGAACAGCACAGCCCCCCTGAGGTCAGAGGAGCTCAGAGGATGTACCCACACTGCCCATCTGCCTTTGCATGCAATGTCAGAGAAAGTCCTTGTCCTTAAACCTCAAAAAAGCAGGAGCTCTCTGGGTTTCCTACAGTCTTAGATTTCAAGAGTGGGGAAGAAAATATTTTCTGGTAAAGAAAGTCTAATCTGATATAGCAGATTTTGAAAGGGGATAAATTTTCACACCAGGATACAAGCTGAAAGTTTTTCTTATGGAGCTTACAAAAATCTGGGTATTTTTTATTTATTTTCCTGTTTCCTTAATATACCCATCTACCTTTCCTGCTTTGTTTTCCATAGCAGGAGACCCCCAGCTCTGTACAAGGCTGAACTTGGTGGGATGCTGTGGCAAGAAGTTCTAGCAGTTGTCTGGAGTGCTCACCTGCAAGAGTGTGTCACTGTGCTATTTACCAGGCACTTACAGCTGACTGAACACCTGTTCTTCTTTTTTATTTTTTTTTTTTTTTCAGGAATAGGTCCTTAAGAAAAGAATTTTAAGATTCATCCTTAAGAAAGAACCCATTTTCCCTAAGGAAAAGATGAAATGAAAAAAAAATGAAAAATTTGAAAAATGAAATGGAAGTTCTTCTCTGAAGGTCTGATTCTGGAAAGGGGGAACAATTTCATACTGAGAGATGACTTCACATGTCCCAGGACAGGTAAGCTTGTAAACTTAAAAGCATGGGGAGAGAGAGCACCTCAAGCTCACCCAAGCCTGTCTTTATGGTAGCCAAGTCTGTGGGAATCCCTCATTACTTATCATTTCATAGCACCACAAAACAATTCCCTGGACTATATCAGGAGGAGGAGTTAATTTCTTTTTACCAAATTATGCTGCAATCACATTCTGCACCAGAAAATAATTTATTCCTCCACTGCAATGCTGGAGATGTTTTCTCACTTCTACAGCACCAATTTCTCTTGCTGTTGGCATATACTGTAACAAAGAGAAGGAAATGGTTTCAAATGTGTCCATCCTGCCGACATGGATTATAATAAGAGTGGAAAGTGGGCCAACATTAGCTCTCCTAGTGTCAGTAGCATAAGCCTAAGTGCCAAGCCATTTCAATTAATTATGTGCTAATAGTCTCTGGGCTGAGGCAGCGTTCAGCATATTCTATGTGTACCAGTTATACTCATCAGTTCTATTTTTTCCTTTCTGAATAAAAATTAGAAATAATCCTTCAATTCTGTGGAAGTCTTCTGTTGCAATCCAAAAGTCAATGCAGCATTTAGGCTTCATATGTACATTACCATTCCCTTAGGCCATTGTTTAGATGGCATTTGTAGGAATGTTAAACACCATTAGTATCCTGTGTCCTGCTTTGGCACCGCAAAGTCACTTCAGAGCTGTTGTGGGTAAGGTTTACAGCTACTTTGGGGCACCAGGCAGCAAAACCAGCACGAGCACGATGGTAAATAGGACCCTAATAGCCAGAAAGTCATAAGAAAGATTTTTATTTTGTAAGATACATTTTCAATTTATGGGGTTTTGTTTGGGTTTTTTTTTGTTTGGTTGGTTTTTTTTGTTTGTTTCTTTTAATGTCACCTCTTTCCCTAAGGGAATGGCTGTCTTGGTCTCTCAGGAACAGGCTGATTGACAGTCCCTTGTTGCAGTTAAAGGAGGGATGTCTTCTATGGACCTTTTTCACTGTGAAAACAAATATTTTAGAAGAGCCCTGGACTGCTCTGGAGAACTCTTAGTATGATTAAATATAGAAGTGGAAGGACAGCAAAATCACATGGTCCTGTGGCAAAGTCCCAGGAATTTTTGGTGGTTCCTCTGGTAGAAAATTGCTCTGGAGAAAGGAACTCACAATTCAGGTCTGATTTGGAAGGATTTGGGAATTTGCCCTCTGGGTTCTGTTTTAATTGTTGTTTAGCTGTAAATATTCCCTCAACCCAGAGAGGATGGCAAATATCAAAATCAGAATAATTAAATGATTGTAAGTACTAATGAAGTTTCTATATAAGCAAAGACATTTGAAGCAATAGGCTTCAGAACCATGTCAGGTCTTTATATCTATGAGATTGCAACTTAAAAATGAGACATACTTTTCTCCTACCTCACCAAAGCACAGATATTGTAAGACTAAAATATCTCTTCTGTCCAGGTAGGAGTGCACTGTAATACTCAGTATATAGAAAGATAGTAAATGTACAATAATTATGGTTATTTTGACTATTTCTCTCTCAATTAGTATTTATTTTGAAAAGACAGTGTTCTGTGCAGGTGCTCTGAGGTAACACTGTTACCCCAAGGTGAGATTATATTTGTAGATTTTCATACAAGGTGATGTACATGCAGCCCAAGAATAAAGTCAAATTTTTTCTTTTGGTGGGCCTACCTTTGTCTGTTAAGAACACTAAAAGGACTCTGGTCAAAAATCTGCGTTCCTGATCCTCATCTTTGTTCCCTATAAAATAAAGTCTCTTTGATTTTAACTCCCACACCCACCTCAAAGGCCTCATTTAGGGTACACAACCCCCCAGCACATTTTCCCATCACTGCCCCATTTATTGATGGAGAGCTGTAATTTCAGTTAAGGCTGCTTTGTTGCTTGAAATGAAGATGAGTAGAGCAGGAGGACGACTGTGGAAGGTTCTAGTAGTAAATATCCAGAGACTACTATCCCTGTCAGAAGGGATGGATGTTTCAACAGCTAGTCAGCCAATTTCACGCTAAAATTAAAGTTGTCAGTCATCAGGTGGCCTGCTTGGTAGATAAGTGATATTACAGTTTCACATACCCAACCTTTTTCTATTGGTCAGAGTGTGATGCAGAATCCTTGCTGGCATGCCATTGACACATGAAATGTAGCAATTATTGCTAGCATTTTTATTCTCAAGGTTTTTTGGCACATTGAGTTCAGATTCCCATTTGCTTGGTTTAATACATGTAAACAATCCAATTTTTCATCAGTTCTGCTCAAGAGCTCATCAGTGACTGCATATGGGTGTAATCAACTAAGCATCGTTTACTAAATCCAAAGCTTAGTTCTTCATTTCCATCAGTTCTCACTTCTTTTTAAATTTCCTAGAACAGCTCCACATTTTTAAATAGCGTTACTCAGGATTCTCTTTTGTTTGTTTGTTTTACTCTTACTGATATCATTTCAGCGATTCTTTTCTTTTTAGTGCTTGAAGTGTAATTCTACTCTCCCCATGTAATTTCCTTGCAAAGCCAGATGGACAGAAATGGTTCCATGCCATGCTAAACCCTCCATCTTATTTATACAAGATAAATCTTGCTGCTAAACAATTCTGAAGAATGTGTTCATTATATAATATCTACTGAATTTGTCATTCAACTCATTCTTGTTTCATCTTTCATCATTCTGCTGCTCTTCTCTACACACATGTACTGGAAAAGGGGAAAAAAAATAAAAGCTGTAGAGAAGATGGTGACAGGAATCTTGTGAGATGGATGAATTTGTCTACTCTGTTTTGCCCCAGTGGTGACAAGCAGATTTATTTTCTTTTTGGTCACCCTTTTTTCCTCTTCTCCCTGAAGGATACAGAGATCCCTTGGGTTAAGCAGGAAAGCTGCTGGTACCAGTGCTGGAGAGCAGAGCACAACACCTGCTGCTCTGTGTCAGGACTCCCAGCTGACTTGCTGTGCTCAGGACTTCATGTGTCTAAATACTCCTGATGTGCACCTCTGAAAATACACGCATGGAAAAAACACATTTATTTCATTAGGAGAGTACACCGGAGGTTTTGAGAAGATGTATTTGTAGCAAGTTATCTGTGGTACATATCTGATATCTTTATTCAAGTACAGCTCTTCAAAGCAGTCCTTCAAAGGGCAGAAATTCCCATTGTGGTGCTCAAAGATGAGGCTTCAAGGCAGAGGGAGTAAAAACCCTCCCACTGCAGTCAGACATCTCAGCAGATATCAGCATTTCTCCCTCCTTCTTGCTTGCCTATTGCTGCCCTCTTATGCTAATTATGCTTCTGAAGACAGACTGTACTCCTCAGTTAGTACAGTGGCAAAAAGCCATTAGTACAAAGACAGTGGCTCATTTTTTTTACCCTTTTGCCTCCACAGTCTGTCAAAGCCTTTTAGCTCAACTTCATGTGTTCTTTGGGCCATCACCAATCTCAAAGACCAAGAGAAGGACGACCTGGGCTGTGCAGCACTAACAAAGGATCAGTCTTTCTGCTCATGCTTTCACCCCAGCCCACATGCCCTGGAGCAAGGTTGTACACCAGAGCCTATGCCTGGGTAGGAGAAGTTGTGAGGGGAAATTTCCAAGAATTTTACTCTCTGCTACAGATATTTTCACACATGCCTGGGTCAGCACTGTCCTTAATTGAAATCATCCTGTCCTCAGAGTGCTAACCCCCCTTCGTGGGAGTTCCTTCCCTCCCTGTGCTTTCTGCTTGCATGTTTGTAGCTGAGTGTCACTGTTATGGGAAGTGGCATGCTGTCTTCCAGTATTTTCTACCTCTTTCAACTGAAATATTAAGGCTTTTCCCAACAGGCCTTCCTATTTCTCCCATTTTCTGCATAAATACTGTATAAAATGCTGGGATCTCTCTAATCTGGACCCAAGTGCTTTGTGATGAGTATTAAGAGATGTCTTACAAATTACAAATTATCAGTTCTATCTCAGTGGTAAAGACTTCTGCATTTTCACTTCTTTTTCCCCCTTGCCTAAGACACTGCCTCCCCATTTTTACTAATCTTGATTTGAAAGTGCTTGAAATTCTGCTTTCAACAGCAGAAGATAAAAATGGAAAGAGAAAATGAACACCAGTTCCTCCTGTCCTGAAGGATCAGACTCCTCAGCTTCCCTTGATCATTGTTACTTTATTTGTTTCAACATAATTCCTCGTTCAATCTTACTATTCACATGTTTTATTTTCTGGGCTATTGTGTAGGACTGCTGTTTCAAGGTTCACTTATAGTAGCAGTCAGGAAGTCATGTTCTGTCCACAACATTCAGAATTTCCAGTTCCCAAATGTCATCTGTAGGAAAAGTTTGTGTAAGGAAGTACAAAAAAGGTCTGGAAATGATTATCTAAATCTGTGTAAGTGGGTTGTGGAGGCCACACAAGAATAGCCATCCCTGTTGGGTTTGAGATGGAGGAGGAAAGATGTGCTCCAGCTCATGAGTTTCCAGTAAGCAAGAGGAGTGTTGTGTCCATCAGCAGAAGTATAAACTGAGCTTGTACTTTACAAATTACTCATTTTCACCAGTCGGTCCTAAGGCCTTGATTTAGCAAATACAGCTGAAATCATTCTCTCCCAGCAGCCTCACCACCCCAGTTACAGCTCAGAGCTAACACATGCCTTCATTCGCTGGCACAATTAAAGAAAATACCCTGATTCCTTTGACTGCTTCTTAAAATAACTTCAAAGGGATTTTTATATGGTGAGTTTCTTATGGGGAAACACTACAACCAAACAGCAATGTGTTTGTAGAGTCTCATCTCTGAGAAGGAGCCGTGTTGCTGCATTATGGTCATGGTAGAGCCTTTACTGTGATGTTCTAGAAGTCAGGTTGAAACCCCTGGTTTGACTCTTAAATCCTATGCCTATAACCCAATAACAAACTGGTTTTGAGCAGTTTGTTATTGCAGTGATTTGCTACTTGATTGTACAGATAGTTAATACAAAGGGTTAATACAACTTGAATGCTTTATTAATGAA